TTAAATATTTTCAATTTTATAAATGAATGATTTTCACAAATTATGTAGCTATTGAGCCGTTTATATCCTCCTCACGCCAACACATTACTCGATGTTTGTGTGTGTGTCTATCATCACATATGTTGCAACAAAAATAATTAGCTGAGCGAGAAATATTATCATTGCCATATTGACATTCGTCTGCTAGTTTGCTACAACTCTGAATCATCGGACTATCCTTATTAACGAAGGAACATGTATCATAAAAAAAAGTTATTCAGAAACAAATTTTCTGATGAAAGACATTGAATCTGACACTTTAGAAAAGGATCCTTGTTTTGTACATAAAAGAATTTCTTAGATTTAGCTTCTGCTACATTACACTGACCGATTTCGATCATGTGCATCTTGAGAATGTGGATATCACTGTAGTCTTGTTTACTCTCGTCGTCGATCACACCAATCTTTTGATCGTTGGGTAAAAGAAAATACAGAACCGTAGTTAACATATGTATATACTTTCTTTTTTATGAATATATCACATATTTCTATACTCTATAGCATGCGTATTTTTATCCAATACTTCTGTAGAAATAATGCGTGATTAATTCATTTTATTGAAAACAGAGAAACCAGACAACGTTTTGACGAGAAACAAGTGAAAAAATATGAATAACTTGCTATTCCTAATTCCGGCTATTTTTACGTTCTCATTACGTGTTAATAAGAAGGTCATATTGATAATTAAAGCAAGATTTTTTTCTCTTCCTTACTTGTTAGTAATTTCTATTTTTATATTCCTATTTTAAAATGCTAAAAATTTATAATTTATTTTATGAACTTAATTTAATTTGTAAATTGAGTTAAATTAAATAACATTAAAATTAAAATAATTAGTTGAATAACTTTATTATTATTAAAAATTCATATAAAACTAAGTTTTAGCTAAAAACTAATAATTTTTAAAACTAATTAAATAATTAAATAAAATATAATATAAGAAATAATTGAATTAAAAATTAAAGCTACTGAATTACTTTGAGGGTGTGGGTATTTATTTCATCTATCACTTACAACTACACCCGCACCCACCCTCAAGATTTTGCAATCAATAATACTTAAAAAGTTTCCATATATTCTAAAATTGTCCCCACCCTCCCAATCTTAACTGATTTGCGACAGCCCTTTCAATATTTATTCGTACTACTTGAAGAGTTGGATGATTTTCAGTTAATGCACGTTTTCCAATTTGTAACGCATGTTCACAGAATGAAATAGCTTCTGGATATTGACCCATACACAGATATACACCTCCGATATTGTTGTAAAAATTAACGAAAAGTGAATGATATGGAGGTAAAATCCTTTGAGCAACGTCAAGTACTTTTTCATAATATGAGATTGCCGTTGAATATTTGCCCATTTGGTGATAGATATAACCGATGTTGTTACAGACAACAATCAGATGAGGATGATTCGAAGGAAGTGTTTTGGTAAAAATGTTGAATACTTTTTTAAAATAGAAAAGTGCCTTTGAATGTTTGCCAATATAACCGTATGCTCCTCCAATATTATTACAAGTACTAGCAAAACTAGGGTGATTCGAAGGAAGAACCTGTTTTTGAATTACATATGATGTCTGGTAATAAAATAGTGCTTTCCAGTATTCTTTCATTTTCTCATACATCGAACCAATATTGTTGTATAAAGTAGCGACTGTTGGATGATATGAAGAATCTGTTTTTTCAATGATTTTAAGTGGTTCTTGAAAATAAGAAATTGCTTTTGAGTATTCACCTATCGTACCAAATAATGCTCCAAGATTATTGACAGAATAAATTAAATTAGGATGATTGGGAGGAAGAGATCTTTGTTCAATTTCACGTGCTTTTTCCAAATGCAAAAGTGCTTTCGAATAATTACTCATATTAATATACGCACCACCAATATTGTTATGAGAAATAGTTAACTGTGGATGATTCGAAGGAAGAGTTTCTTGCAAAATTTTCAATGCTTTTTCATAACATAAAAGAGCTTTTGAATATTTTCCCCTGTTTTCATGCACTCTTCCGATATTGTTATAAGAAGTAGCCAACGTTGAATCAATTGGAGATAGAATTCTCAATCGGATTGCTACTGCTTTTTCATGAAATTGAAGTGCCTGTAAATATTCACCCATTCTATTATATATTATACCAAGATTGTTATAAGTATAAGCTAATTGAGGATGATCTTTATCAGATATTTGTTCATTAATTTCAATTAATTTTTCATAAAATCCAATTGCTTCTTTAAATTCTTCTTGATTATCTTTAATCCATCCAAGATGAAAATAAATACCAGCCATTTGTGATAAATCTGATGTTTGATTAAGTAATTCATCATAGACTTGTTGAGCTTTACTAAATTCACCTACTTTAATCAATACTTGACCTAATCGATACCATTCTTCTTGACCAGGAAATGTTTCTTCTCGTATACGTTCAGTTAATGCATTTAATTCAGGATCATTGTCACTAGTTTGCATTAAATCAACTTGCAATAAACGATTGTTTTCATTGAGTAACCTGATTTCTCCAATCCGAAAAACAGAATGCATTGCGAATAGAATTTCTTCCTCTGCATCACCATAATAACCGACATTAGTAGTATTACAGAAGGGTGTTGATGATATTGACGGATCCACTGTTATTTTAAAGAGAACACCTACTAAATCCGAACTAGATGAATTACTTTCTGCATAAAGAAAAGCGACAGATTGAACAAGACTGGTCGATAAGAAAGTGTTGAATGAAAGCAATCCACCTTGTGTTTCCATCAATTTATCAAAATCTATTAAAGATAAACCTTGTCCATGGTATACTACAAAGGATGTTGAATGATTCAGCTCTTTGTATTGTTCCGTATGTAATCGAGCAATATGTTGATGAAGATCACGTATAAAGAAGTCAATCTTAATAATAATATCAAATTCCATGAGACGTAAACTTTTATTGAGCATGGAATAAAGAAAACAATCAGAAGTATACCACCAAATTGGGTGATGATGACGATATTCATTTTCTAGTTTGGTAACATCTCCAATAAATTGATTTCGACAATATGCTAAAAATTCATCAATATGATTCGGTTGAAAATTAATTTTAAGCAGAATTTCTTTTAATATTTGTGTATACATAAAATATTGATCGAGTTTATCAAGGTTTGGTTTTGAAATTCCATCAGCTGGCTTAATAAAACTCATAGAAACAGAATTTTGATTATACTGATAAATGTCCCTTTTCAAAGTTTCACAAATCGATGGGATATCTGGAAATATTATCACTCTGGACGATCGTTCATATTGGTTCTCATTTCCACCAAGAAGATAAATCATGTTGATTTGAGAAAGATCTTGAATAACACGAATAGTCATTTGACTAGATGGCTGTTGAACAATAATGAAGACATTATCTACATTTAGATCAGTAATAAAATCAGTACATTTATCAACATCATTGAATATCTCCATTATTTTGATGATCTGTTGCAACCCTTCTATTGTTTTACAATGATCTTCATCATTGGTGTTATCGACGTTTTCATCCAACCAGATGAGGAGAATGTTTTGATTCATACGAGTATAAGATGATCTATTCATAATATATCTTGTATATAAAATATTTGATTTGAAACTGTTTTTATATATTTCAGCATCTACTATTTATATACTTCTTTTTTACGTGATCGAGCGCACAATATTTACCAAGAATGTCATAAAACCTATTGTATAGTTCTGTATTTTCGATTTTTTTTTCATTTCTTTAGTAGTATGATGCGTTCTCCAGTGCGATGTGGAAGAAAAAAAAGGATGAAAGGAACACATATATAAGTGAATTGCAACTTTATTGTACCGTTTTCGTGACAAAAGTCGAAGAAAAAAAAGTTTCGTTTTTTGAGACGATAAGTAGTGTATTTTATTACTCTATATAAGAGATACATATAAATAAAATCTCCTGAATACCACTATCATAATAGCTGAGATACATAGATTTGTAAAAATTATCAAAAATCATCAAATTACGATTAATGTCAAAATAAAATCAGGTCAGTATTTTTTAAATAACTTTTTGATAGAAACTAGCTATATATCTCAGGTTTGGGTATGGGTGTCTTTGATCTCATTACCCACCCACACACCCACTGCAACATTGTTTAATCGTAGTGTCGGAATATTTTTTTAAAGGATTTTCGATTTAATACGCATCTTTCTCTTATCAATTTTTTTTCGTGCTGTCTCTTCGTGTTATCCCTGCCCAATGCGTGTGGATACACATTTATGTTCATGAAGAGGTGTTACAGTCATATCTTCATATGCCTTTACATATTCTTTCACATTCTTTGTCTCTTTCTCTTTTGTGTTTTTGTTCTTCATTAGGATAAGTTACAATGTGAAGAGAGAGTCCTCTCATAATCACTGTTAGAGTGCAGATTGTCTCCATACCGAACTCTTACTAATTGACAATTTTGTTCATCATCAAATACTATTTCCGTCACTTCAAATGTTGGCTTTCTTGCAATCAAAAATTCACATTCTACAGGAAATTTAGATATCCATGATACATCAGCACCAACCAGTCGTTGACATCCATCTGGTGGTTCACTCGTATCAATTTCTAATAAACAGCCTTTTTCACCCATGAAACCAAGTGATACTTCTTTATCCCATGATGTACTGACAAATGTACCATATTTGAAGTAACTGTCACGTTTTTCAGTGCCATGATTGTTAAATACGTATTTATCAATTTCAGTATCTCTTAAACCGTGGTAAACTAACGGCGGACGGTTTTGTCTTTCATCATATCTGTACAATAGTCGAATAGCTGAGTCCAGTATTGCACCAAATATCGGCCACTTTTGGCGATGCCAGTTGTCTCCCACTTCAAAGGGATTTTGCTGACAAAAGAGTATTTCATCCAAGCGTAAATCAGCATAAACAACAGTGTCTGTGTACAGTATAACTGCAAGCATTTGATCGTAGTTTAGAGGTGACCCCATTCTTACGTGTCTTGGATGTTTTAGTTTGTCACGTACAACATTATTCAAGTGTTTATGTGGGCCTCCTGTGGGGCGCAAAACGTAACCGAAGCCATTTTTATTCAGTTCATAGACAAGATCCCCATCTAATCCTGTATATGTGCTTACCCGACATTCTGTGCGCATCTGAGGCTCCCATCTCTCAAAACCTGATACAAATTTTTTCAATTTCAGATTTTCTTCTATAGATAGTCCACCACGCCGATCCACATGCAAGTAAATTATACAGTGACCAATATCATGCGTTTCGTATCCATTCTTGCACAGACGAATGAATGCTTCACAATATTGACCGTACTCACAGGCTGTTTTTTCATGCCAATATTCATCCATGTGAATCAGATTTGCCGTTGTATATTGACCATTTTTAATTCCCAAATAAAAATCACATGATATATTTTCAGGGCACATACGAAAAGTTGTGAAAGTAGTGCTTGTCATTGTATGAGGTAGCGCTAATAGCTCTTATCAAAAACAGTATACTAAACCAATTCTCAATCACTTTATCTACGTTGACAGTAGTACAACTATAAAAAAAAGAGAAAGTGATAATCGTATTGTGTATTTCAAAAGGAAAGAGCGACGAATACTAAAGAGACAACCATGAAATGGCTCTACATACATATCGAGGTGTATTCTGTTAAAAATGACGCAAGTTCTGTGTAAACAACGCATAAATTCGAAACCTACACAATTTTATTCAAATAAATTTATTTACTACGGCGTTGAGAGATAAGTTGTGGTGATAAGAGAATGAAAAATAAATTTATGTGGTTCTATATTGAAATTTAACTTTTTGGAAATTTTCGATTATTCTTTCGATCATTATCAACCTTTAACACGATCTTATACATCATAATCATATACATGAATGTTGTTAAATTCATTCTACGACTAATATATATATAAAATACTCAAGTGGTTTAATTATACTTTTTCTATAATAATGTATGAATATATTAATAATCTTGAGATTTGTTGTAACATCTGTTGCAAGGTAATATTAAGGATTGATAATGATCGAAAGAATGATTGAAAATTTCGAAAAAAGCTAAAAAAATTAAATTTCAACATAAAACTACAGAAACTTACTTTTCATTCAAATTGATTAAATCTCAGGATTATTGATAATTTTATATATATGCCTCTTATCTTTTTCATCATTACCATAAAAAATACAAAACGTCACATGTGACTCATGTATTTGCGAAACTTTATTTCGTAACAGGAAAAAGCAAATGTGGGTAATATAAAATTTCTTATCACTAAAAATATAATATAAAAAACGGTAACTACTAATATTAATTTTATCTCTCGTTTAAACAAAATCTTGAATTTGAGGATTGGAGTTCTGCATAAGTGCAACTTTTTGTACTCGAAACCGATCCGGTCCTAGTCAAATACTTTTCAAAATAAACAAACAAAAAATTTAGTTATCTAAAATCACGTAAAAACACAAAAGAATCAAGTAAATCAGGATTTCGTTCTTGTCATCGTGATCTAGAACACGACCAGTTTCACTAAAGACACGTTCACGGATGGTTGATAATACTGGGATTGAGAGAAGTGGGTGTGGGTGTGAATGTAAGAGAATAAAGAAACACTTCGTCCCCACAAGCACATCCAACATATATCTATACACTCTCTAGCATGGGTATTTTTATTCAATACTTCTGCAGAAATAACGCCTGACCAATTAATTTTATTGAAAACAAAGAAATCAGACAAAATTTTGACGAAAAACAAGTGAATAAATATGAATGACTTGCTATTCCTAATTTCGGCTATTTTTTACGTTCTAATAAATTGTGTCTTATACTATAAAATAGAGAAATGCTAGGATTCAATCAATCAACTAAAATAACAAAACATGTTTCACCCCGTATTTTTCACAAGGATTTCAGCAGTAGAGTATTTATTTGTGAATCAACATTGCAAAGTACCTTTAACGAACATTGTTAAAAGTAAATGGTAAATAATAAATCTTCACCTTTCCTTTCTTATTATTCGATAAGCTTTCTTTTCAGATTTATGAGTATGATACAACTCTTCATAAAATTCTTTTTATTATATATCTTGCTAAGTCATATGTCCTTGTGCTGTTGTTTTGCATTCATAAATCCTTTTTAGATATATGAAAACAATAGGAATATATATGCTCCAGCAAAGAGTTTATTACTGAATTGCATGATATAACTGCATATGCAAATAGAATTTATAAATATAAAAAAATACTTCAAGGGCATATAATTTCAAACTTACAGCAAAGTTTTAGTGACGTGTATGATAAAAAAAGATTTTATAAAGAGTCATATCATGCGCATAAACTTGACGAAGACTTGTAAAACAATAATAAATGAAAAATGACGATTTATTATTCTCCACTAGACTTTTACAGTCTAAAATGTGCTCTGTCATTCTCTTTCGTTTTTATTAACTGCTAAAATTTCAATCATCGAAAAACTTTTCCTCGTTATTTTTTAGAAAATATATGGATGATTTTGATCCTTCTGGAAGTCTAGCCCTTAATCAATCTGACGTCGATAAATCTCCGAAACGTTTAATATGGTGCTTTTGGATATTTTTTTTAATTCTTCTTCCATTATCGTCTGTAGTTCTCATTGGATTTGCATTATTTGACTCAAGTATAACAGCATACAATGAAAAAGGTCGAATTGCCGATATTTTATTAATGTTCACCTATGTAATAACCATCTATGGTATTATTAAAATTGTTTTATCTATCACGAATAGTATATCTATTGAACACAATACTTCTGTTCACACCAAGAAACATTCAAACATTGTGTTTGCATTTCTGTTTATTCTCGGAGTTGGTGATTCGTTATTTATTCTGACAAGATTTGGTGATCAACTTATTTTAATTATCAATCAAAATTTTGTACCGAATTCGAGTTGTGCGACTAATCTTGCTCTATCAATGACAGCAAATTTTTTGAAAAGTTTATGTCAATTATGTATATTAATGTTTATTCTTCATCAACTTGATCATTCAATCAAATTCACGAGAAAAGAATCGAAAATATTCTTAACATGTTTATCAATATTTTGTTTAATTCAATGGGCACAAATACTTCTCCAAGAAGTGCACTTTCATAAAAACAAACCGGACGCATGTGATATGGCTCTAGATCAGGGTTTAAAACGATTCGATGAAATTGCACCATATTTATATCCACTGGGTTTGGAATTTCGATTTGCGTCTTTTATCGAACTATTGATAATGTCTGAATGTCTTGGAACCAGTAAGAAGAATATTCTATTAAAGTTTTATCATTGGTTTAGTAAGAATATATCTTGTAAAGGTTGTTCGGCTAATAGAATGTTTTCTACGATGAGCCAGTGTTTGAAAAAAATGCTTTCATGTTTTTCGGTTTGTTTTAAGAAAATCAAACATCCATTAGGAAAAAATGATATCTTATTTCCATCCATTTTACTTCCTGCGATTGGAACTCTATTAGTCAGTCTTTCGATAGTTATCGTTTTGTTTCAAGAATTCAATGAGACTGATGGCGATCATCGAGCTACTGTAGTTCATTATGACAAAAATAGTTTATTAACATTGATCAGTGAAATCTGCGAAATCATTCTTTTATTTGTCATGTCCTTATATTCAATTTATTCATTGGACAAATTATGTGAAAAAGAAAAAAATTTCGAACAAATACCATATGTTCAAACAGTGAATATGGAATTCATAGTTGATTTTGCTATTTTACTCATCTCGAATCTTTTCTTGAATATTTATTGTTGTGTTACTCTTGCTGGTTCAGTAATATCAGAAGCAGAGGAGCAGTTAACTCAAACTATACGTTGGTTAACGTTGACGGCTTCCGTAATACCAATTATTCAGACGACACTTCAATTAATAATTATTTGGAAAGTTCGTCGATACAATGGAATGTTAACTAAAGGAATCAATCAAATGTGGATTATATTAAGTTTTGCCATATGGTTATTTGATACATTTAGTGCGAAAGCATTCGATACGAATGAAATTCAAATCAGTGTCTATAGTGGAGGATGGGATATTTTGGCCGCTCTTTTTGTACCTATGTCGCTATTTTTTCGATTTCACAGTTGCATTATGTTTGCTAATATCAAAGATGGAGCATACTGGGATGAGGAAGATCATTCGTTGGCTTGATAAAAATTTAGAATTCAGTTATTTTACTAATTACCACCTTTGAGCACATGTGAGCGTCTTAAAAATGAACAGAATTTCGACACTCACATTCTTTTTTTCTATAGTTTGACGCTAATGTATAATTCGTTTTTTTCTTTCCACGTATTCATATACCACCGTTTTACAATAAAAACTGCAGCAATGATGCAATGAATGTATTCTTATTCATAGTTTTTTAAAACTTTATTCGTTGTTAATGAGAAAAGATTGAAAAGTGACAAAAAAGAAATATTTATCAAAAGTCATTTTATCATCAAAAATTTGTTTTAGCCACGATCAATAATAAATTTTTGTATTCGATGGTTGTAGCTATCAACAACATAAAGATTACCATACCGATCAAATGATAAACCATATGGGTAGTTGAGTTGCGTGAGTTCGCTTCCAGATTGTTTTTCACCAACGACAGGAACACCTTCTGTTGCACCTGGCGACCAACGTGTTATTTGAGGACTACCTTCACTCGACACATAAATATTACCAACATGATCAACAATCACACCTATGGGTTGACTTAGTGAATTGAAGGTTCCACCAGAAGCTTCTCCTGGAGCAACAAGAATCCCTTCAGTTGCATCTTTCATCCATTTCATCACACGATTATTCGCATAATCCGCTACGTAAATTGAATGATTTCCATCGACAAAGATATACTTAGGTTCATTTAATTGATTCAACTGATTTCCTTGTCCATGGTCACCTACTACAATTGTAGCTTCTTTATCTC